CCTCTCCCCCCTTAGGACTCTTCATTCTTCCATTCTCCTGGTACACAGGAGCATTTGAGATAATATAACATCTGCCTTCCCTATCAACCCATCGGTTCCAGAGTGGGGTGGAATGTGGCTCATCATCAACTGACCCAGTGCCCAGTACACTTAGGCATTGCTCTTTTCACCAGGAACACAGAGGATGGTAGCTTACAGGTAATGTGGGCTGCCAAGGGCTTTGCACGTTCTTGGGCTGTGTGTCTAGAGCCAAGAGGAACTTGCTGGGGAGAAGAAAAGGAGGAATTTCCTCTAGGGTCTCGGATTGGTCAAATAATCAAATTAATACCAGATTGGTAAGAGAAAAAAAAATTAATTTTGTACCCATAGAGAGACTGTATTGACAGGAGGGGTCCAAGATAGGAAAGGGGAAATGAAGGGACAGGATAAAGGGCTAGGACTTCACGGAGAGAGGAGGCAAGGGAAGATGCTCTATAGTCAGATCAAGGTGGTTTCTGGTGTCACAATTCTGGATAAGACTGCACCCTCCCTCCCCATTTTTACCCTTCTCGGTACTTTAGGGCATAGTGAAAGTATCTCATGTGCCTGCGATCTCCCCTGATTTGAACTGGGAATATCCGTTGACTAAAATGGCTCAACTGGGGGCTGCTTCTGCACACCTGCGGGCTCCAGACCTGGCCACATCCAGACGTCACAGCTTCCACGCTCCATGCTTTGCACAGGAACCTGAAACCTTTTCATGAATGAGTCACAGAAATTGACTGCCTTTGGTCCTTTTGTCTTCGGGGGTGGGGTGAAGTTTTGGTTTCCGGACTTCTTTTCTCTGTACAATCCTAACTAGCCCCGTAACTTAGACATTTGAAAACTGTTTTTTGAAATAAGCAAAGGTCCTTTTCCTAGACTGCTTTGGTCAACAAGCAGAAGTGCCTGACTGAAGATGGTGAGCCGGGAAAAGCCTGCTTAGCCTGGCAGAGAGGACATAGTAGGGGTGGGGGCATGTGGAAAGAGCAGACAGGAAATCCTTTAGCTCTGGGAGCAGGAGTCTGGGAATCCCACACAGGGAGCAGCTGAGGCTCCCCTCAGAGACCCCTCCAGTCCCCAGAGCTGGTGAGCACCCAAGGGTACTCCAGAAGCCTGGGGTTGGCGTGGGCTGGGGGTGCTCAGTGGGCCTGGTTCTCTGGGAAACACAGCTGTCCACACTCTGGTCAGCAGCTTGCTGCTACTCTCCATTTGTTTGGCTTTCTGCTCTGTAACCAGTGGAACCTGATGGGTCAGTTTCTAGATCTGGACCCACTTTTTTACTTCCTGCTTTTCACACCTTCAACTTGAGAAACTGTGTGGTTCACCCGCTTCTTGGCTTGCAAAGGGATGACTCTTTTGTCCAAAATATTCAACAAAGAATTTGATCTCTTATAAAGTTTAGTAGTCAAGGCATTGAAACAGCCAAAGTGCACATCAATGGATGGATGGATAAAGAAGGTGTGGTGTACTCTCTCTCTCTCTCTCTCTCTCTCACATACACACACACATACACACACACACACAGGAATGGTACTCAGTTAAAAGAAAAGGTGGAATCTTGCTATTTATGACAGGGTGGATGGACTTAGAGTGTATTATGTTAAGTGAAATAAGTCAGTAGGACAAAGACAAATACCCAGAGATTTTACTCATGTGGAATATAAAGAAACAGAGGAAATGTACAACCAACACAAAACTTAAACTCTTAGACACAGAGGACACATTGGTTGTTACTAGAGGGGAAGGGAACCTGCCAGGTGGGTGAAACAGGTAAAGGGGCTTAGTTATATGGTTGCCGAAGGAAATGAGGCTTGTCATGTGATCACAATGGGGTATGTAAATTGGTCAGATTATAATGCCATCCCTCTGAAACCCAGGTGATAGTATAAACCAGTGTCACTCCTACAAAAACTTATTTTAAAAGGGGAAGCAGGTGTTCAGCAATTCTGTTACCTGGGGAGCTGTTTATGGGATTGAAACAGCTGAAGTTCGACTCCCTGAAGATTAAGAAAAGTGACTTGCCTCTAACCCAGTGACAGTTCTGCTGGTGTGTGTTGTGGGGAGGGGGAGGCAGCCTGGACGTGATGGAGCAACATCAGCACCCTCCCAGCCCAGCCAGGTCTAGGGGGAAGCAGTGGTTCACCTCCCAAGCCTGTATTTTTGTTTGGTTTGAAGGAGGCAGGTGCCTTCCTTCTTTCTGTTTTGGTAATCCCTCCCATAGGGATAGCATCACCTACTCCTAGCTCTCCCAGAAGCTCTGCAGTCCTGGGGTGAGGAGGACAGCGAAGCAGCTAGGACACAGAATTACAGGAGGTGCTTGCTCTCCAAGGTTCTGCAAGCTTTGAGACTAAGAGCTGATGAGACTTGTCCAGGGGAGAGGATTTACTGTGAGGTGGCTGGCTGTGGAATAAGAAGGGCTTTCTACCATAGGCACCTGTCAACCTGAGCTCCCCCTTGCCTGGGACGCCCAAGCCCCCCTCCAGACAGGTGCTTTCTGTGGGGTTGCTCACTAGTCCATCACAGGTCCCTGCTCCCAGGAACTGCAGAGACAGACCTGTATGGAAGAGAACTTGAACAAAGAGGCAGTTGTCATGGTAGGGGTTACAGAAGTATAGAACTGTCACAATATTAAATAACACTCTGGATACTTACCATGTACAAATTCCCGTGGTAAGTACTTAAGGCCATTATTTTATATAATCTCCACAACAGCTTAATAAAGAAGACTTGGTTGCTGGAGCCAGACAACATTTTTATGAACTAATTTTTTTAATTAATGTTTGTACCACTGTCTACGTCGTTGTACATGTAATGATATAGTGAAGTACATTGTTTCCATTGCTAATATTTTGAAAATAGAGGATTTCTGTCCTTACAGTGGTCATTGTAGCTCTCCCACCACTAAAGCATCCATTGTCCTCCACCAGCGTCTACTGTGCTTCCTCCCCCAACTCTCGTCCCTTCCCCCTCCCTTCTCCCCTCTTCTCGTGGTCGGTTTTCAAGGATTGGTTTTATAGTTTGTCTTTGTTGAGACTTGGTTTGTTTTTGCTCTATCCCATACATATGGACGCCACCCAGTATTTATCTTCTTCCTTCTGAAATTTCACTAAGTATAAGCCCTTCCAGTTCCATCCATGCTGCTGCAAATGATGAGCTTCTCTTTCTTGAGTGCTGACAAGTATTCCCACATTTTCTTGGTCCATTCATCTGTTTTTGAATATTTATGTTGTTTCCATAGCTTGACTATGGGAAATAATGCTGCAATAAACAGGAGCGCGTGTTTCCTTTAAAATTAGTGTTTTTGTGTTCTTTGGGTAGATACCTGGGAGCAGAATTGCTGGCTCAGAGGGCAGATCCACTTTTAGTATTTTGAGGAACCTCCACACAGCTTCCTATGTAGGGGACGGACTAGCCCACATCCCTGCCAACAGTATAAGAGGCTTTCTTTTCTCCGCATCCTCACTGACACTTGTTATTTCTGTTTCTTTTCATATGGGCCATTTTCACAGGTGCGAGGTGGTATCTCGTTTTGATTTATATTTCTTTGATAAGTGGTAAGATGGGCTTACTGGCCATCTGTATATCTTCTTTGGAGAAGTGCCTATTAATGCTTCTGCCCATTTTTTGATTGGGTTGTTTGTTTTCTTTTGTTGAGTTGTATGAACTCTTTGTAGATCTTTGATATCAGTTAGATGTCTGGTGTGCAAATATGTTCTCCCATTCTGTGGTGTGGCCAGACAACTTTGATTTAAATTTCAGCCTTGACTCTCATATAGTGTGAACTTGGGAAATTACCTCTCTGGGCCTCAGTTATCCCATCTGTAAATAGGAATAATACTGGGTCCTACACTATAGTGTTCCAAGGATTATACTAGGTAATATATGTACAGCAATGAGACATGCATTGGGTACAAGGTAAGCCCTTGACCAAGATCAGTCACATTTAATGTTATTGGTTATTGTTAATGTTAATGATAATGTTAGTGGGTTTTGCCTCTGGTAGCTTATTTCTAGGCAGCTATAACAAAATCTCATCTACTGCTTATTTCTAGGCAGCCATAACAAAAATCTCATCTACTTATATAACAAAATAGAAATTTATTCTCTCATAGTTCTGTAAGATAGGAGTCCAAGACCAATGTATTAGTATTGTTCTTACGGTGAGGGAGAACTTGTTTCATGCTTTTTTCCTACCTTCTGGTTACCTCAGGCAGCCCTAGAATTAAAGATGGCTGCAATCTCCTTGTATCTCTGAACATCATCTTTCCTCTATGTGTGTGTCTGTCTCTAGCTTACTTCACTTAGTTCTTTATAGCAAAGCACCATGGAGTAGGTACTCAAACAACCACTTATTCCTCATAGTCCCAGAGACTGGGAAGTACACCACCATCAGCAGATGCCATATCTGAGGAGTGCCCACTTCCTGGTCCCTGGGAAGCTGTGCCCTGACATAGCAGACGGGGAAAGGCCCTGTCAGGGGTCTCATCAAAATCCCAATCCTGAGGCTTCCACCCTCATGCCTGGTCCCCTCTCAAAGGTCCCACCTCCAAATACCATCATCCTAGGGATTAGATTTCAACAAAGGAATTTGGGGGAACTCAAACACTCAGTCTATAGGACCTATTTTATAGTGACCCCAGTGGTATTGGATTAGAACCCATTCTAATCATCCCATTCTAACTTGAGACATTTGTAAAGACCCCATTTGCAAATAAGGTCACATTCTGAGTTAGTGGAAGTGAGGATTCCAACCTATCTTTTTTTTTAGAGACACAACTCAATTCATAGTACAAGGCTAGTACTTGCTCGGTGTCACACAGCTTGTTGGTGATGAAGTTGAGTCTTAGAACCAGGATTATTTGATGACAAACTCCATGGCACTAAAGCTCAACACTACTGAACCATTTTTGGACAGGGTCAAGAACTGAAGTGGGACAGTGTTGTGTTGATGGCATTTTCCCTTCATTCCCCCCTTATAGCCTGCCTGCTCCAGGCTGAGCTGGTAAACTATGAGCGAGTCAAAGAGTATTGCCTCAAAGTGCTGAAGAAGGAAGGGGAGAACTTCAAAGCCCTTTACAGGTCTGGTGTGGCCTTCTACCACCTTGGCGACTACGACAAAGCACTCTACTACCTGAAGGAAGCGAGGACCCGACAACCAACAGGTAAGATAGAAATGGCTGTTTTCTTACCAGGAGTCTCCTTTGGCAGCTCTCTGGGCCTCTTCTCTGCAGTCAGTGGCTTCCGTGGCTGTCAGGGAAAGATGTATCTAAGTAGGGCCCACATCTGTGTGAGGACCTGAAAGGAGAGCACCCGGTCACGCCTTGCCTGGGACTCTGTCTTTTCCACCTCAGAACCCAGGTCACTTCACTTCTCCAATAAAAGCATTGAATTCTACTTGCAGGATTTGTGCTGGGACACTCAGGGGTGTACATGAAAGACATGGTTTCTACTTGTGAGTAGCCCACATTCTGGGTGCCAAGACAGGAAACCACGGAACATTTTGGCGCTAAGTCCAGCATCCTGCAGGAAGCATGCTCTGACACCTTGAGTCCAATCCCCTGCCTTAGAGTGTGTGTTATCTATGCTATTTGCTTAAACTCCTGGCCATGAGCTCAGCCCTACATTCACTCCACGGTTACTGAGCATGTACAGCAGCCCGCGACTTCCAAGTGCAGAACATGCACACAATAAAAGCGAGAAACAAAAGGTTGTTCTCTTCAAGGAGTTTATGTTATAATAGAGGGAGATGGACAGTAAACCAATGGACCAACCGGTAATGCAATATTTAGTACTGATAAGTACTATGAAGAAAATAAAGCATGGTAACAGGGGGTGTTATTTAGAACAGATGGTCAGGAAGAACCTCTCTGAAGAAGTCATAGTTAAACAATGACTAACTTGAGGTTGTTACTTTTGCTCAATGCCCAATCTTTTTTTTTTTTTCAAGATTTATTTATTTGTGCATACAGAACTGGGGTACAGGCCAGAGGCTCAGGGGCGGCGAGAGGCTTCACCAGAGACAGAGTGGGGGGCAGAACAGGCAGATGGACGAAGGACACTGCTGAGAGGAGCAGCAGGCGGGTCAGGAGAGGTCTGCCACGCCATGTGGTCACCTCCAGGGCGGGGATTGAACTCATGAGGAAGTGGCTTTAGCTTCTTAGTGCTGTGCTTTAACCCACTGCACCACCAGGGAGGGCCAACCAATCTTTTTTTTTTTTTTTAAATGCAATTCTCCTTGCAAGAAGTCTTTAAGAACTTTAGTATCATTTATAAACATGCAAATGTTTGAAAAGACCATTTATGTTTATTGTTTTAAGAACATAAGTGCCTTTATTTTCATCTTCATTCTTCTGGTTTCTGTATATAAATCATGTTTCCCCCAACTCGACTGTAAGCAACTTGAAGACTAAGAACTGAACTGTTTCAACTGAATTTTCTGGAGTATCTTCTACATGCCTGCACTGTTCTGGATGCTGGTTAGAAGGAAGCATGACTATTTCACAGCATTCATTTCTACTTCTAGAAGGAAACATCTCAGGCAGCCCCTGTAACTTTTATATTCTGGGGTGTGTGGAGCTAGCCAGCTGTTCCATGGCATGCCCTCACCCTGCCCACTATTTAAGGACTGAATTAGGGGAAATTCCCCAGATTGTGAAGAGGTGATTGCTTGACCCTATTTATAAGATCCGCCAGTGAAACAAATTTAAATTCTGATAAAAATGGCATTCAATTGATATTTATTGATCTTACCTATTTCGATCCTCACTATATTTTTACAAGGAAGGTATTATGATGCCCAAGAGAGACAAGGTTTGGAATCAGACACACCATTTACCATGTGTCTCCTTGGTATCTAAATTCCCCATGGCTCAGTTTTCCCCTTTTGTCACAGTGAGGATGATGACACATTTGTGTCATGAGGGTTAAATGAGATAATGAAGGTTAAAGAGCATGAATACAATAGACCTTCAAAAATGGGGACTGTTTCTCACAGAGGAGACACAGAGCTCAGAGAAGTTGATAACCTGCCTGAAGTTAAACCCCATGTGCGTGTCATACCATGGAGATGGGCTGTTACACAGAGGGGAGAAACCCCTGTTCCTGTCCTTCCCATTGGTCCCCTGGGTCAGGGTGACCTGTCCACCTTGTTTGGGGCTGGGTCAGGAAGTGCACACTCTGGTTGCCCTTGCAGTCACCATGGATCTGCAGAAGAGTCCTAGGCTGAGAGAGTCAGGCCTGTCCGTGATCCATAGACACAGCTTTAGCCTGATACCATGGAGACCCAATTGCTCCCAGCTGTTCTCTAAGGTATGTTTCTCTCCTCACAGACACCAACGTGATTCGATATATCCAGCTGACGGAGATGAAGCTCAGCAGATGCTCCCAGAGAGAGAAGGAAGCCATGTAACTAGAACACCTCTCTCGAGCTGCACCCACACCTGACCTGGGACTTCCAGGCACCCCTGGTGGAGATCCCACCAGGCCTTTTTCCTTCCTCCCACTTCTTCTGGTCCCCTCCTCTTCTCCTGTTGCTCCTCAACTCTTTGTCCCTCCAGTGTGAAAAGGAGAGGTACAAATCTGGAACCTGGCAGGGTGCGCCCACAGTAGAGACATCTTCTTCTCAGGAGGTCCAACACTGAGGAGGACCTGCAGCAACACTGGAGAGGACTCCGTGGACCTGGAATGTTCTGGTGGTTCTGACTTTGGCAGCGCTTCCAACAGAGGCAGAACCCGACAGGTGTACGTCCCAAGAGCGACAGGCACGGAGCCCACAGACTGAACCCCCCTGCACACCCTCATGAGGGACCACAGCATCTCAAGGCAACGGTGACATGTCCAGGGATGAGACAAACACCGGAAGCATCTGTTAAGCCAACACAGGGACTGTGAATTTGTACACTGGAATCCCCTCAGCCCCAGTAACCTCAGCCCCTGCCTCCCTCCCTCACTTGTTGTCTTGGCTTATGCTTTCTTCTCTCCCTTTCAGGGATCTGAAACTCTGCCAGGATTTACATGCCACTGAAGCCCACTCTCAGAGCCCTGTGGTGACACACATACCATTCTCCCATACGCCCATCCAGTAGGCAGCAGTGACGTATTTATAGAAGGGCAGGAATGAACCATGTAGGTGATGGGGGAAGGAGAGATCTAGACATCTAGGTGAAAGAGTGTTGTTATAGATGGGGGATTGAACTGTGGACTAATTAAGTGTAAATAAGAATAAGTAAACAGGCAGCCAGGTCCTGTCAATTCTGTTGGAAGCTGCCCAGTCCCTAACTTTCTGCCCTCCCCCAACTCTCAGTCAGAGCTACTTGTAGCCAGGCAGGGTGGGGCTTCCCCCAAAGCAAAGAGCCATTTGTCCAGTGGTTGACGAGTTGGCTGCTGCCTTTGTGCTCTCAGAGGAGGCTGGAGGTGTGGAAACTGCCTAGGGACTTGCTTTGTGGGAACTTGTACAGCCTCTTTTTGATGAAATTATCTGGACTCAATATCTAGCTCATAGAATGTGTTCAACAAACATTTGTTGAATGAATAAATTATGACTGCAGACTGGCTCTCCTGCCTTAAATGAATTTCATCCCAGCCTGGTCTCCTGATATCTAAGTTCTTTGCGCTCCGCCATGTTGCTTCAGTCAAATAAGAAACATTTACTGAGGGTTTATTGTTTGCCTGTCATTGTGCAATATGCTGTGGAAGAGAGGATGTAGTTCCAATCTTCAAGGAGATGGAAGAGTTGAGGAATACTCATCTGAGATTATGACCAATGACACCTTTCATTTATACGATGCTTTAAATTTTCAAAGCACTTTCATGTATTTTTTGTGTGATTAGTGAAAGAGATAATATTGTACACCTTATAATACAGATGCAATAATGTTAATAGTTAGCATTTATTAAATGCACTATCCTCAGATCTTTACATGTATCATCTTCTTTCTTTTTTTATTTTTAAGATTTATTTATTTATGCATACAGAACTGGGGTATAGGCCAGAGGTGAAAGGGGGGTGAGAGGCTTCACCAGAGACAGAGTGGGGGGCAGATCGATGAAGTACACTGCTGAGGGGAGCAGCGGGTGGGTCAGGAGAGGTCTGCCACACCATGTGGTCACTCTGGGGCAGGCGGGGATTGAACTCATGCGGAAGTGGCTTTAGCTTCTTAGTGCTGTGCTTTAACCCGCTGCGCCACCAGGGATGGCCCGTATCATCTTATTTCTTTCATGCAATTATCCTAGGAGATACTACTTATCCATCTGGTAGATAAGAAAACTGAAAACCAGGAAAGTTAACTGACCAAAGCTTACATGACTTGAACCAGGTCTGTCTGGCTCTCGAGTTTTAGCTGTTAACTACTCTCTGGTGAGCTGTTGTTCAACAGTTATCAAAGGCAGGTATTAAGTTGAAAGCCTTGACTGTGTCAGCAGTGGAACATAGACTGCCTCTTGCCTTTAGTCCCAAACAAAAAAGAACAGTCTTAACACCAGACTCCTGAGTGGTCAGAGCAGTGACAGGCCAGGAAAAGACAGCTGAGACCCAGCAGTTATTTCTGTGTCTTTACTCCACATGCTGAGGGGGCCGGCATGTATCCAGCCTACCTACCGTTCCTCATCCATCCCCAGCATTAGGGAAGAATCACAATTATAGGTAGAGATGGGAAGGAAGCACAGAGCTAATTATGGGTTATTTGTTTAATCAGAGGCTCCACCACTGCAGGCTCCATCACTGCTAAAGAGCCCAGAAGCCAGCAGCACAGGTTATATTCACATAGTGACTCAAAGGCTTCCAACTGAGCAGTAAGAAGAGGATGTTACAGCTGCCACATCCTTCCCCACCCCTACTCTGCCCTGTTCCCCTGAAATGGCATGACATGACCCACCGCAGCAGGCACGGCACAGGCAAATGTACAAAACTCTGTTCCTAAGCCTCCAGCTCAGAAAGCCTGTGAGTTGGCAGATTGCTTGTTAGGATCTGAAGGGTGCACATGAGTTCAGAGGTGACCTGCAGAACTGATTCAGACAAGATCAGGAGTGTTCAGGATAGTATGGCTGTAAACTATGCAGAACCAATCCAAACCGGTCTTCAAGCCACCAGGAGTGACTCAGAGTAACTGTCCTGAGTGGAGCAGATGGAGGTTTTGCCTCAGTGGATGAGTTGGGAGAGGTCTGGGGAAAGATTGCTGCTATCCCAAAGAGAAAGGTTGAAAACCAAAACCTTGCAGGGACAACCTGTGCAGCCTCAGCTTGTTTGGCGAGGAAGACACACATGCTTATTGGAACTTACCCTCTGAGATGCAAAGCAAAGTGAGCCTAGGACAAATGTTGCCTGGGGTGTTGGTTGATGTGTGGGGCGATGGGGCTGAATTTTCTGCCATTTGTCCAACAAGGATTTCAGCAAGTTAATAGCAAAAGCAAATGTGTTTCCCCTGCCAAGTCTTCAGCTCCCCGTTCCCCACCCCTCCCCCAGGCAATTAAAAGAGCACTTTGTTTGCAGATGCCACCTGAGTGATACCTGGAGCACTAGCCCTGGCTCTGACCTGCTTTGTCTTCTGCTTAGACTTCTGTTAATAAACTTCCTGGGGAAATATTATACTTCTAAACATTATACTTTGCTGATGAAGGCCTCAAATGTGCATTGTAGAAATTTTAGGGACATAAAAGGAAAACTCCAACTCATAAATCCTACCACCCAAGGTAACTATTGCTGCATTTTTATTGGTATCTTCTGGTCTCTTTGGCAAAACTGTTCACATGCACATTTTTTAACAAAAAATTGGATTCCACTGTGTATACTCTTTCATAACTTACTTTTCAAAAGGTGTATTTATATTTTAGGATATGTAAGAATGCACAGGTACAAATTTTTAAAACTCTGTAGTAAGAAGTAAATCTGATTTCAACCTGCTGTCAACACCTGCTTCCCTCTGATTACTTGTCTGTCCTCCCAGAGACATTTATCATTTTCCAATATTTGTGTATATATATTCTTTTGTCACACAAAAATGGTAGCTTCTTGGACACGCTTTTTGCATCTTGCTCCACTTCATTTATTATTTCATGATGTCACACATTTTTCCTCTGTCTCAGAAATTTTTAAGGGATTTCTCATGATACAGAGAGACCTGCCCTCCCTCACTTGGTAACTAATCTCTTAACAGCAGTTTTTTCCATTTGTCCCGAACCTTTACTGTAAATGATATTGCAACAGGCATTCCTGCAGCTAAATTTTGCACACATCTAGAAATGTTTCCCAAGGATGAAGTTCAAGTAGGAAACTGCCCGACTACCTTTAAGAATTTTGATATATGGCACCAACCGCCCTCCACAAAGTTCATACCAAACAGAACCTCTCCTGTGCAGTCTTGAACACGCTCTGTCCTGACCCTTCAGTAGTAGGGTCATAGTCACTTATCAAACACCTACTAATCTGATAGTGAAAACAATAACTTGTCGATGTGGTTTGGACTTGCACTTGGTTGATTATTAGTGAATAACATCTTCATGTGCTTCTTGACCATTTATACATCTTTCTTTGTGAATTTTCTATTTATCTGACACTGGTATGTTTACCTTTATTATCAATATGTAATTTATTAAGAATATTATTTTTGTCAAGAAACATTGCAGATATGATTTCCAAGTGCTTTGTTTTCAATTTTTGTTCATGGTGCTTTTTGGCATACATAAATTCTTAACTCTGCAATTAATTTGTTCCTCTGTTACCAGCTTCTTCTATCCATGAGTCTTCTCCTTTCTACCGGAGTAAGTCTTCTAAAACACAACCATGTTACAACTCTCCAAGGCTTAAACACCGTCAGTGGTTCTTCATTTAGGTTAAAGTCCAAACCTCTTAGCATAAAACACAGTCTTTTCTGTGATTTCTCTCCGTGGCTTTCCAGGTTTCTCTCTTGTCCTTTCCTTCAAGGTGTCCTGCTTTCCTGTGATTTCCCATAATTCTGGGTCTCTGAGCCTTTCCAAGCTGTTCACTCAGTCTAGCTGGCCACGCTTCACTCCTCCAGCTCTGTGTTTACCTTGCCGGCTCAGACAGGACTTGCTTGAAAGCACTCTTTGACTCATTGTTCTGCATTCATAAGGGCACAGGAACCTGCCTCTGCCTCTCATTCCCTCCAGTGAGTTAGAATTTCGTATTATGTTCGTTTCCTCCACTACCTGAATATTGCTAAATGTGGGCATTTTGGTCAATCCATGGCTCGCACACAGTAAGTACTCAATAAACATTGAGCATTAAGTCTGGAATGAATGAATGACTATTGGGCTCAGTGGCTAATATCATGGGAGGTAAATACAGGGCGAGACTGGATCTGTGGTCCTGAAGCCATGGAAGCCTTGGGTTAAAAGCGAAGCCATGTACTCCAGTGCTATGGTTTCCAAAACATCAGTATCACGAGAGGGGCTTTTTTAAAGTAAATATTTTCAGGCTCTGGTTTCACCCACTCTGTTAGACTCATGGTGATAATGCTTATGATACTACGAGGTGGTGATGGGAAGGTTGTTTTTAATGTTTTAATGTCCTGATTTATTTCTGACTCACCAGGTTCAGGAGCTACTGCTGATTGGACCAGTAGACAAGTTGGAGTGCCAATCCCATTTAAAATCTTGTGACTTTTTGAAGTGGATAAACAGAGCTTTGTTTGGGCACCAGCATGATCTTCTAGTAAATGTGTGATGTTGGGGAAGTTGCTGCATTTTTCAGAGGCTCAACTATACATGAGTTCAATGTCCTACTCCTTTGGAGCATGTTGGGAGCAGTAATAAAAACCTGTGTCCTAGCTCAGTGCCTGATACTGAGTAAGCAAGGCATTTCTTTTCCTCCCCCACCTTCACCCCCCAGCCTCAGTTTCCTCATTTCTAGCATGCCCACTAATATCTCTGTTCATGTTCCAAATCCCACACTGCACTGCCAGCACACAGAGAAAACACCAACTCCTCAACACATCCTCATATATCAGACTCCACCACAGTCAATTGGGAAAATGCTGGTGGCTTTCAGAATCAAGATTTTCTAGTCATAACCTGCTTCTTGTGTGTCTACCCAGAAGCCAGTAGCTTTGAGTTGCAAGGAGAAAGGGGGTGGTTGCCTGTGTTCCTCTTCCATTGCCCCATATCATCCCATGTCAGGATATGAAAGACAAGCCTGACTGTGGGATCAAAATAGCTGATCTGCAGCCCTCTCGGGATGCCCCTGTGTCCCCCTCCCAATGCCTACACACTCGCTTCCCACTGACCTGGGGCAGGCAGCACAGAGAAAATGCATTCAGTCCATCAGGCATGACAGAGTTCAAATTACAAAGTCAGCATGAAAGTCCCACTCTAAATGGACTGAAATTGGATTCTATTAAAAACCACATTCAGGGAGGCTCTTGGCTATTAATATTGGTTAAGACATGGGGAAATGGGAAGATGCAGAGGCCCTTGCAAAAGGTTGGGAATTCAGCTGGTCCACAGAATGGCTTGTCTGGAAGCAGGTCCACATTTGAAAGCTGGCTTGGCCCTGTTTGCAACATCTCGCAGATTATCAGGAGTGGTTACAAGTGATGTTACTCACCTGATGGAAACTTCCATAAAAAGAAAATGGAGACATTAAAAATGCAGGCCAGTATTTCATCTGGGACATAATTCAATGTAAATGGGTACTGATACCTCACCTCCAGTAGATCAAACTGTAAAACCTTTAAGAATGAGTAATTAGGGCTTGTTGGTACTATCAGAGCTGTTATTACGCTTGTAGAAGGACCAGATTCTTTAGCTTCCTCCATTCCACTTCCACATCTTGCAAACACAGCTACTTTTTGAGCCAATAAATCCCACTGTCCTAATCTGGGCCTAATCCTATACCTGCTAGCTTTGCATGAGCTTCTAGTTAAAAGAAACCAAGGTTGTAGTTGAAGAATGTCTTGAGATCCA